TATATATATATATATATATATATATATATATATATATATATATATATATATATATATATATATATAATCAAAAAACAGCATTAATAACACATTTAAAGACGCCAGGTTCACAGTGGTGACGGAGAATGATCAACAACGGGTATTTTTGAGCATGTTGATCACCGGAATGCCATCAGGAAACCCACAGAGAATGGTCTACCACAAAATAACGCATACAGATCAAATCCTAAACGTCAAAAGTAGTCACCCACACAACCGAAAAAGATGCTGTGTCAGGATCCTGTTCGGAAGAATTTAAACGCATTGTGACACCGACGCACTTAAAAATAGGGAAGAAAGATATCTTTTATATAAGCTGTAATTTTGAAAACAGAGCGATGTCGGTACAGGTGAAAATAAGCCGACGTTTTGGTTACCGTGGGTAACCTTTATCAAGGCGATTTAACAAGATAACAAGAAAGACATCTCTTCAGAGTATATTCTTACAATGGCTATGCTTGTTATTTCATCAAAAGAACTTGCAGAACTCAAAGAAGGAAACAAACAGCCTGACGGGGAATCAGGAATAAGAACAAGCCTGCAGTACATCAAGGGTGTTTCGGAACTGACATCAAGACTGCTCAAATGATACGGAGTCCAAATCGCAGACGAACCGTCCGCCTATCTGCCTGAGGCTGAATCCGTTGGTGGAATCATACTGGAAGGAAACCACGTAATCGAAAACAAGTGACATATCCGTTATTGCTACACTTGGTACATTGACTTCTTTCCCATATTCCTAACTCTGATTGTTTACTGTGGAATTCATTCATGATTTCCTGATGAAAAACGTGTACCATTAGTGTCTGTAGAAATCAGTTAGTTCACTTTTGTTATTACCATTGCATACTGGAACCGATTGATATATTCGTTACGGACAGAGTTGATCAACATTGGTGTCTCCCCTTAAGTTCAACACGTGATGGCATGACGTGATTCATGAAGTAGACGTGCATGCCCCAAACACAGCAAGGTGCTCATTCGATCCATTCCACCCAGGTGTGGTATGATGACATTTGGCGAGTATTCCGTCGAATTTCGTCCGTACTCTGACGAGAACAATTCATTCATAAAGGCGACCGCGGTTATCGATCGGTTGGATCTGACATCTCAATTCACAGCCCCGCTTACTATAGTCGAGGCAATCGCGATTATCGTTTACCCGTTTGTGCAGTGCAGTGCGTCAGAGCCCATTCATAAACTGAAATTCGCACCCATCAGCGAAACTACAGTCTTGCCCCCGCAAACATGACCGTGGCTTTGGTGACCACATTCGGGTACCCCACAAGATAACAAGGATGTATCTTTAGCAAAATCATAAATCAGCGTTTATTGTGGCTTGTCTCTCCGTTGGAAATCAACAAGTGCGCCGTTCAGATCACTTCTACACTCCAGTCATCGACCCGAAGTCCGAGCATTAGCTAAAATAAACAGGTTTGACTGATGCAGCAACCACTGCGCTTCTCCACTTCATATCACCTCTGGAGCATTCACTGCTTCACAGTCATCTTCTTTGCGACCCTTAGCTGGATTCAACAACAGTTTATCCAATAATTAAAAGACGACTTCATTGGTAAATAACCCACATCTTCATCAACAAATTCTAAATCGATTATTTCTTATTCTTCAAAAAGAAACCCATCAACAGACACAGTGAGTCAAGTCTACAATCGGATCGCATTTGTCTTCTGGTGGTTGCATCACTGGCTTAATCAATGTGGGTTTGAACCCAGTTTTTATGTAAGCGTTGGTCGGTACGTGCAGATGAACGGAAATGTAGGCTTATTTTATCCATAGTGCATGACCATGAGGGTATGACAACCCTTAACCAGAACATTGGGTCACATAGGTCCCGTCAGGCCTCCGTGATGGGGACCCCGAGATCATGGCAACTGGGGCTTAGAGGCACTGAGTCATTTGGCTGGGTGTCACAAATAGTGTCTGTCGCCCGTGCATCTACTAATTATTCTTGCAACCCCAGTCTAAATGAATTGTCAATGTTCTCGTTGAATCTGCTGTCAACATTCTAATCTTCATTCCGCTCCCTTATCCAAACGCTCAGCAACCATGACCGGCACGAAATTGAACCAGACTATCTCCTCTGTAGCTGAGGCTCCGTGGGTAGTGTCATCTGAACCTCCTACTGCAGTAGCAGAAGTTCGATCTTGCATTCAAGCCCGAAGAGAACAAAAGCAGCTGGATCGGACGGACTTCGTCTTACCCTTTTAAAGATGGGGGGGGGGGTGATGACCTCGTAGACTCCATTACTCATTTAATGCGTAACATCTGGTCACACGAGCGCATCCTATCATCCTGGAGCGAATCACTGATCTTTCCGACTTTTAAGAAGGAATCTCGCAACGACTGCGCAAACCACTGTGGAATGAATTTGCTCCTCGTTGTCACCAACTTACTAGCCTCCATCATACTTCGACGTCTGACATCGTTTAGGGAGACAAATATCCGCGAACCGCAAACAGGATTTCGATCAGGTCGCGGTCGTATCGATCAAACGTTCACTCTGCTTCAACTCCTCGAGCTATACGAACCGTCGACCAACGGTTGTCGTGTTCCTTGACCTAAAAGAAGCCTTCGACTCAGTTGATCGTGAATCCCT